CATGTCAATAATGATTGCCAACATATTCACACTAGCACTTGTCTAAATGTATCTGACATCAGTGGTAATTCAGGGCATACTCACACTAGGAAAAAAAAGCAAAAAAAAAAAAAAAAAGCACTTGTCTAAATGTATCTAACAGCAATTACTGACGGACGTGGATGCATCTGACTGCAATCACGACCAGAGCTGAGTCGAAAAAGTCCCAGTGTGCCTATGCCCCCGGATAACTGCTCAATTATGAGACGCTGGATCCAGTTTACAGCACGTCCTGCCCCACCCGAATAAATCAGACCCATAATTTCAGGAAAAAAAAAAACAAAAAAAAAAACGGACAAACTGACCCACAAACTTCAATTTCCATCACAGGGGAGTCAAAAAGGCGGGAAAAGAATTGGCAAATTCGAGAAGAGGAAGCCATAGCCACTATGGCTATGGAAGAACGGGTTCACATACCGGCGGCCCCTGTGACCAAGACGCGCACTGGGTCAGGCATGGCGGAACGAATACCAGAGTTCGAACTCAGGGAGTCAGAAAAACGACCTACAGGTCGGCGCTTGCCGTTCACGCGGGCTGAGAAGACTTGTAGAAGAGCGCGACTAACGACATGCTCGTCCGCGCCACTTCTTCACGTTTTAAAAATTGTCGTGTGTTTCCAGCGCGCGGGTTGTTTCTTGAAACTCCCGCGTCGGGTTCCGCCGAAAAATTAAATGACCGTTCAAGGACTGGGGCACTGGCCTGACTTCCCCGCCGTCGACTGGTCTATATGTATATATTTATACTGGTCTAGATTTTAAACCAAGTCCAGGCACTGGCCTGACTTCCGCGCCGTCAAGTGGTCTAAATTTTAAACCAAGTCCAGGGGCCAGGTCCCACTGGCGTGTGTTCTTCATTCTTGACCGCCGATTGTGGCGGGAATACACAGATCCATGGCCAGAAATGAAGAACACCATCTAGTGGGACTTGGCCCCAGGCTGAGTCATACAGGGGCTACGGTGGGTCCCACGTGCGTGCGTTCTTCCATGCCCAGAGAAGAAGAGCACGCGGAAGCGGGAGCTACTACTACCGGGTAGGCCCGATAGTACGCCAGAGTGTGGCCTTGACCAGAATGCGCAGATCAGCAACTGGCCTAGCTCAGTTAGTACAAGACGGGAGTTCGAACTCCACTGGAAGCGGATGAGTTCGAGTTCGAACCCCGTAGGTTGATATGTATGCCAAAATGCCCCTGAAAAGATGTGGGCAGAGGGTAATGCCCTTTTGCGCCGAATGTTTTGTGTGATGCCCCTGTTAGGCCCCTGTGCAGATTTGCAATCTGGACCGCACTGGGCATTTCACAATCAGGCCTTGAAAAAGTTGGCGAGTACTGGGGCACTTTGCAAAGCTGGGATGGTACCCCGTAGGGGTATATGGCAAAGATTGGAAGTCCAACTGATGAAAGGGGAATTTCACAAACGTTTCTATTTGTCAGGGGGGCATTCTGCTCTATTCATGTCTTTTAGGGGCATTTTCGCGTATATCTCAACTTATGGGGGTAAAGTGAGATATCATCATTGAGACTGGCCCCAGATGATTCAGAATGATTTTGTGCTGTTGGCCTCACAAATATCTGGATTCAAACTTCGATCTGTGTTTCAACAGTTCATGGGTGTACCAACTTAGCTACGCCCGTTGGTGAGCCTACTTCAGTTGGTACATCCTAAAGTACTAAATTATAGATCTGAGGTCGAGTCCAGATGGACTAGATGACTGAAATCCCCCAATTCTGAGTTACTGAGGGCTGGTCGGTTCGACAATAGCACTGGTAGGCATTGCTTTTTCTTTCCCTTTTGAAATATTGTGCAAACCTCTATGTAGATGGTACACGGAATGCACTTATTCAGACCAAAATTCAAACCGGATGGTCAGATGACCAGAAGGAGAAAATTCTTCACCTGGTACGGGTCAGTTCAATTTCTCAGCTAGGAGGCTGTGCTTATCCTGGTTGCATTTTGTCGTTTACAGGCCATTGCTATTTTGGGAATGTTGTCGACTTGTTTAGAGGGCATGGGCATCGTTAGGTACATTGGTTGAGTGCGGTTGTGATACGTTAACCTCACGCCGCACAGAGTGTCCTGTGCCAGTGGAAACACCAATCAGAGTAGGTGGGGCGTGGCCAAAGATTTTGGGCAGAGAAGTTGAACCGCCGTGATGAAACTGGGATTCTCGCTCCCGTCCCAAGGTTATTCCCGAAGGTTTAGAAATTAAGAGAGACAAAGACAAAATCAAGAGTGGGCATCAAAGAGACAGGCATATTTATAAAAAACCCACTCTTTCAACAGGGACAATCCAGCAGAAAGGCTAAGTATACGAAAAAAACAAAATGATGCAGGGACATGCATAAATCGCCTCAAAATTGGCCCCACCTTCGTGGAGGCCAAGGAGCACAAGGAAAGGACAGGACTCTGACAGGTCGGGGTTAGTCTCTGCAGTCGGACCTCGGCCTAATGCTGGTAGATCTGTCAGCCTCCTCGCTATTGGACGACGGAGGATGAGGAGGTACCAAGACTCGAAAGTTCCCAGGAAGGGCACTCACATAGCGGGTGTGTTCCGACAGCCTCGGCACCCCCTGGTACTCCACCACCGACTTGAAGTGTCGCACGAGCACGAACTTCCGATCCTGCACCAGTGGCAGTTAAACAGGGGGTTCCACATGGCATGCGCAGCCGACCAGGGAAGCACCGTAAGATTAGTGTAGGGAACGGTTAGTTGGGGAGAATCGCAAATGTCAATCAAAACAAACCTTTCCCCATAAAATGTGGCAAGCCTTCGACGGGTTGTAGACATGAACCCGATCGGTCCACAATAGCAACCTTTGAATATCCACATCGCAATAGACTCCGTCTTCGTCGGCGACCGGGAACTCCGAGAGGCTGCTATGGCGCGTCGACACTAAGGTCAAACACGGGTAATTGCCCATGTTAACACTCAAGACAAGTGAACCTTGACTCCATACAACTCTAGCTCAGATCCATGTTCCCTTGTCTAGAACGCAATCTGAATTTGTGATTAAACCATTGCAATGATGCAAAGACACAGACAAAACAACATCAATACAAGCGCCACACGTGCACGACCACCATGTTCAAATCTCAAGGCGTGCTCCGGCCTAGCCACAAGGCCCTACTCCTGGGTGCACCCTTGTCTCCACCAGCGCTCAATCTCCTCAACTACCACCTACCGATGCTAACACTAAGCTTACCCCAGGCCATCACTTTGCTCATCCCTTGGCACTTCAAGCCTTCTAGCCGCTGCAACATTCGTGCATAGCTCACGCAACATTGCAGTCGAGATAAAAAAGGAGGAAAGGAGAGAATTGCCCAAATTTATAGCAAAACAGGCGGCGAGGCATCAACTTGAAATGCGAGGGAGCAAAGAGAGATAGAAGGGCGGGGAGAGGAAAGGATCATCAAGAGAGAGGGAAAGTCATGAAAGGACGAGCGGAATGAAGAAGGGAGGATGAAAATTTTTTTCACACAATCGAAGTGGTTATCCAAGCCACACATGTAAGTCCACTCTCACGGCTTGATCCGACTGCCTCCACTCACAACCAATCAACCTCGTTGGAGGCTCGTTGGAGGGGAAGGGATGAATACGAAGAGATACATGCAAACAGAGTAGCAAGCAAGAAAAGAAGTTGGTTCGTATGCCAAACCGGGAACCTAGCTTGCATAACTTGCAAAAATGAAAATTGGCTTTCACGCATGAATTGCAAGAAAAAAATCAAAGTGTAATAACTATCGAAATTCTAACTATTTCTTTGAAAGTTCCCACACGGTTGCAACTGGACCGAGGAAACCTAAATTCCCAAAAAGGCGACGACATTTGCAAGAAACACAGACTTTTGTATTCACAAAAGTTGAACCTGACCCCCTTCCATCCATCGACCATTAAGATTCGCCCGTGGCTTGCTAGGGGTTCAAACCCTAAAGGTAGGCAAAGTCGTGCGCTATAGTACAAAACTTAGCTTATTACCCTGTTATCAGCATGACACCGACCAGTCAAGCAAAAGGTGACTTGAAGGGTGGGCGACTGCTGGCACATTTTGGAGGTTATTCGATGTCAGTTGTGGGTGGTGCCTGACCTTTCTCATCCTATTTGAGAAAAAGAGGGGGATCGATGAAATGGTCCTTGAAAAATAGGTGTTTTTTGTTTGTCTTTTCATTTAGGACTGGTTTGAAGGGCATTGTGATGTTTTTTGAAGTAGCTTGAAGGGCGTCGTTGTATCATTCACCAACAAATGCACTACGACTATGTATCTTTTGGTGTTCTACTATGAGTTTGATGTCACGTATCTTAAAATGTTTTACCATAACATTTATACATAATCATCATTTTAGAAAATTGGTGACTAATGTGGTGAAGGTCGGAGCCTCAATAGAGGGTGTCTCTTCTCCATTCATTTACCAAACTAATTTTCCAAACAAAATGGTAATGAATCTCCTGATAGTATTACAAGACCGAACATTTGCGGAAGGGGGGGGGGGGGTCTGGGTCCCCTTGAATGTTCGGCCTGTTGGCCGAATGTTGGGACCCCAACGACCTACTATCTTGGGGCCCGCCAACCCCGATTTGGAGTTTTTTTTTTTTTATGGGTTTTTCTGCTTATAAAGTTTATACCTATCAAATTTCATCTTATTTTACTGGAAAAAAAAAAAAAAAAAAAAAAAAGTACCATAAGGGTGATCAATTAATTTGCGAACCCCTCCATTTTTCTATATATTTTTTTCCCATTTTTCACCCTCCCTTAGAAAATCAAAGTTATCAGTCAATAAATCATCCAATCAACAAATCAATCAATCAATTACTTTCACATGCGCGCGCAGGGCACATGTGCAAAACACACACACACACACACACACACACACACACACACACACACACACACACACACACACACACACACACACGCGCGCGCGCGCGCGCTCTCTTATACACATCTAGATGTGTATAAGAGACAGCACACACACACACACACACACACGCGCGCGCGCGCGCGCGCACGCGCGCATACACACGCACACACACACGAAGTCAAACCCCAACTGTTTGATAGGATTGCAGGGTTGGTGTGAGTAAAGTCGACCACTTTTATCAAGGATATCGCTTAATTTGGGCGACATGATGAATCCTTATCGATTAGTGAAATGGATCTGTGAAATGCATACGAACTATCAAAATCCAATCTCCACAGAAATTGGTGAAAGTCCGACGAAACAGTTTGGCAAAAGTGCTTGATGGCAGCATTACGAAATCAAACGTTCAGTGCAGAGATGCTCAACACATATGTTATCGTACGATGCAGTACTGCTAAACAACTTTAAACCACTAATAACAAATCGTGGGTGGTAAACTTGAGGAACGTTGATTCGCATAAGAGTGGTAAAACTCCTCAGTGAAGTAATCATAAACTGTGAAGGTATATAACGTGTTCAAGCCCGCTGCCTATCAGGGGGTTCCTACTACAACATCACATTTCATCTCAGTTACACGCATTTAAAAAGTATTTTGATAGCATACGTCT